TTATTAGAAAGATAGCTTTGATGGCACAATTATGGAGCAAATGCAATACGGTGAAAAGGCTTATTAAGCACTGTGCTAACAGGAGAAAATTTAATATTCAGATCTTTTTGTGAACAAATATATAAACTGTATGTATAGTTCCCATCAGTTTTATGGATCAGTTTAATTAACCATAACTTGCCTCCTCAATATCCTGTTTCCCTTGGGAGATTGGGATTGACATATATACACTAATATGTATAAAATAATAGGAACCTGCTGTATAAAAAAATACGTAAAATTTTTTTTAAAATCCTGTTTCCCATTATCCTGCAGATGTGCAAATATTTATCAGTTCCCTCTTGCCCTTACCCAATCTAAAAACTCTAAAAAAATAAATGTTTGTTCATTTTTGGATAAATAATACATTCACATGACTGCAAATACAAAGGGGAAATCTCTGTTGTTTCTCAGACTATTCCAAGAGTCTGACTGATCTTTTACTTCTAGTCACCAGAAAAATGGCTTCTAATCTACCCTACAAATTGGTGCCACATTAATCTACCCGAACAGAGATCTACAAGTCAATTGTTTAATACCAACCCAGTTTTTACAGCAGTTGAGTACAATCTGGTAACACAAAACAAAGGCTGATATACTTATTCTATAAAATTAGAAAACCCAGGCTTAAAAATGATAAATGATTTGCCCAAGTACATAGGAATTAGGAATAGCATTAAAACCCCTGTCTTTTGTCAGTTTAAATTACTTCCATTCTACCAGGCTATCTCCCTGATATTCAGTGGCTCCCCCTGCCTCCAGATGGAAATTAAAAACCTCCATGATCTGGCAGCAATTTACCTTCCTTCTCTTTCATATCCCCTCACCACATCCAAAATGGATATCTTCCTACTTTACTTGTTTTCCAACTTTTCTGTTCTTTATCTTTCTATTCTCTGTATTTCCATTAAGTCAAACATCTTACCCCCATCCATCAAAATCCAGTTTAAATGCCACTGCCTCCAGGAAAACATACCCTGCATTTACTCTTCCTACCTTTACTCCATTAAGAAACTCTCTCTCCCCCAACTAAAATCTCTTATTTTTATCCTTCTTATGACATTTAAAATCCTTGCCTTAAAACTTGTTTATTGTTTTCTCCTCTACTGAAGTTCTTTAAAGGAAAAGACTCATCCTGTGAAAGCAAGTCTTCCACAACTAGGCCTATGGTAGGTACAACATTAAGAGGAAAACAAATTATTGCACAACTCCTTAGAAGTACAGAAAACTGTGACAGAAAAGAAAAAAAAAAAAAAAAAGAATTAAGCTGAGGAAAGTTCTCTATAGACCTAGAGTCCCAATCCTAGTCAGCAATTAGAACCGCCCAGTGAGTTAAAAATTTTTTTCAATCCAGGACCCAACTCGAGTGGATCAAACCACTTATGCCAATAACCTGCCACCTGTGGAGGTAATACAGAAACAAATTTTTTAAATTTCATGCAATAGCCTAGAGCTGCCTTAGGAATATTTTATACTAGACAGCTTTCATTTTGACACACCCCAACCATCAAAAATTAAATCTTAACACTATTTATCTCCCCTGCGTCTCTATGTGCTGGGTAAATTTTATCAAATCAAATTATTTAATGAATACTCCAAAATGTCAGCATTTTGAATGCTTAATATCCTTTAGTGCAGTATTAGCCAGGCAAGATAAATTAACTGGTTTAAATTAACACATTAACCACAAACTCACACCAATCAATGTTACTTCTTGGCTTCAAATGAATTTAGACCATTTCAAAACTAAAGATATCACCTCAGAAAGTTAGGATCTAGTATTCTAAGACTTTGACAACAAATCAAAGAGTTCTACTAACTAAGCATTCTGAGTAATTACTTTGAAGGTGGCAATGGTTATATGTCTTGGGTATGTGCATTAAAAGCCATCACTCTAACATACTCAAAGTATGAACGAGTAAAATGCTGATACCTGGAATTTGCTTTTAAAAACAAATTTGCTTTTAAAGAGTGTGGAGGTGGGTAGATGAAATAAGAATGACAATGTTTTCTAAATGTTCAAGCTGGATGATGGGCACATTGGGGTTCACTGTATTATTTGGATCCATTTTTAAATATACATAAATATATTTATATACTTATATATACTTAAGTTTTTCATAATCAATTAAAAAATTATCACTTTAAAGTTTTAATCCAAGTGTCACTTGAGATAAATAGGAAAAGAGGACCTACCTCTTAACTTAATTACTGGTACTGCTATGTCATGGTACAATATTCCCCCCAAAACCACAAAGATTAACAGTCTTATTTCTTAAGAAAAGTTAGTAGCATATTTATATCAAAAGCTATAAGAAAAATCCCAAGAACAAGAATTCCCATCAATTCCTTTTCTATGCCTCACTGTATCTTCATTTCACATCCCTCAACTAAACATTCAGATTTTTAAAATCTGCAGTAACTAATGTTTAAGACCACAGGTAATTAATATTTAATCTAAAAAATGTGCCATTCCTGTTGAACTGACATAATGCACCCTCCTACCTACTATTTCCAAATAAAGTCGCTGAAGGGCTTATTTTTGAAGTTAGGAAGTATGCACAGAACTTCCAATTCTAAGTCTAACTTCATTCAACTTACTCAGTAATAGGTTACTTTTGAACATTTAAAGATCATACTAAAGGATCAATAAAATAATACAAGTGCTCTTTTAAAGGATAGTCCAATAAGCCCCACTGATTATTGCCTCTTTTAGAATTTTAGAACACTTGAAAAAAGGGCAAGCCTTCGTTTAAGAAAAAGATCTTCATATCTTCAAAAGGTTGTGACCAAAACAAATTCAAATAAAAGAAAAATTAGTGACCTAATGGATTTGGTAGGAATTCAAAGAACCTGCCACTTTGGGACCTAACTGAACTGAATATTACCTGTTTGTTCTAGGGAGGAAAAAAAAAAATCAATACCAATTTCATCTCAATAATGTCCAATTACAAAACTCAAACTGATGCACTTTACTAAAGCACATCTTTCAGTTACATCAGCAAAAGTAAGTTCAACTGCATCCATGTAGGGGTATTTAGCTTATCTAAATACCATGGATTTCAAAGTTAGTTGGCCCATCTATAGGACAAGTGCATACACAGAATACCTAAGAATAAACAGGAGTTAATACTGCCATTTAAAAAGGCCTGCATTTCTCCATAATAAACATCATACATAATATCAACAACCAAGCTCCCAATGGAACAACTTGTCCCAGAATTTTTCCAGGTTGTGGGAGAACATAACACAACCAGATATCTTCTCAGGCTCACACAACCACCACCAGTATAAAATACTTTGGTAAAGATTTTCCAAGTACAGTGGTCTCTGGAGGGCAGATGGCACAGAAAATATCAATAACACCCAACTCCCCTGGCAGAATTTAACATATAATTAACCAATGTCTTAAGAAACTAAGTATTTCTTTTTTACCCTAACTTTCCTAAAAACATCCAGCTCTTGATTAACGCGTATTTACTTCCAAAGAGCAGTGCTGGAGAAAAGTGCAAACAGGTAATTTTATCTGCCAGGATTTCTACTCCTAAACTCCCAGAAGGCAATTCTACTATTTACTCCTATTTTTTAAGGGAAGAAAAATTTAAAAGGATATCTGTTTATTTTACTAAATGTCTTACAATCTGCAGCTAAAGAAAAGTATGGAGACTAGGTAATTTGCTTAGAAGTCACATAAATAGCTTTGTTATTCATCTATGAGGCAGTGATTCTTCCAGGGAGAATATGGTAATTACCTTATCCCTATTATCTGATATGCTATCTCTTCCCTGCAGTTGCAAATCATTGCCTAAATGAGCTACTGTTAAAAATGGGACTGTGCAGTGTATATTAGGCATGTGCATGCATGCATGGGGTATGGATTTCTGTTAGGGGAGGTGGGGGAGGTAGAGAAGGAAAACTGAAAACCACTGTTCTCCAAAGCACAGAGGTACTTGTAAAATCATTTGTAAACATCATTCATGAAACAAAAAACATTGTTTTAAGTGGGAGTTTGGGATTAGCATATGCAAACTGGTATATATAGAATGGATAAACAACAAGGTCCTACTGTATAGCACAGGGAACTATACTCAATATCTTGTGATAAGCCACAATGGAAAAGAATATGAAAAACAATGTATATATGTATAACTGAGTCACTTTGCTGTATAGCAGTAATTAACACAACACTGTAATTCAATTATACTTCAATAAAAAATAAATTTTAAAAAACGGCTACAAAAATACTGCAAAAACAAACCAAAAAACATTATTTTAAGGATTTAAATTAGTTATGCCAAATAGCAAATGTTTCCTTAAGACACAAATAAGCCTTATCCTAAGAAGGTTATTAACATGGACCTTGAAAGATATCTGGTTCTTTTTTAACATGGGCTTTGGGGCCGCTGACAGGTGCAGGCTCCCAAGAGCCTGGTCCATACAATGATGATTGTACCTGCCACTGTAGTTCGATTATTTTCTAGTTACCTTTTAGCACCCGTTATTCCTTCTTATAGAAGAGAAAAAAATTAGTTGACACTCCACCTTTTTGGACTCCTCCAAAACACTGCTCCTACTCATTTTAAGCAAATTAGAACAAACAAGTGAGCCCACTAATAAAGAAGCATATGATATAAAAGGCAAAGGAGAGGCAACACCTGTTCAAAGAAAAAATTTAATATTCCTTGAACAAAAGGCAGGAGGTCAATTATCCTTGTCTATATAAAAAGAAACGCTTTTAAGTTGGAAATGTGAACATTCCTTCTAAACTTTAACCATACTGTTTTCAAAGACCCTGAATTAGAGTCTGATATCAGCTGCTTATCAACATTGTTATTCTCAACTAAGCTCTGGAATTCTTAAAGAATCTCATAGTAGCTTCCAAATTTCACTCAATACAACAGGCAATAAATGTATATTAAAATGACCAGTAAGAACCTTCATATAGGAAACAAATAAGTTACCTTTAGTGTGATATACAATAGCAGCCCTCAGGTCAAAAGAACCCCAGCTATCATTCCTTTCTAGGCCTCTCTGGTATCTCTGTTCTTTGGCGGAGCCTAACAAAGTGTTCGTAGGAGACGCCAGAGGATTTTGATTTTCTATCTCATAGTCCTTTGAGAGAAACACTAAAGCACCTTGACTACTGGTGTCTGCTTTTTGCAGGTCACCTATATGACTGGGTTCCAAGGATAAGGCTCCACTCTCACTAGTAGTCCCAGATTTTAGAATGCTACCAAGAACTTGAGGACTAGTCCGTTTTTCCAGCTCATAAGCCTTGGGAAACACAGGATGCTCAGTTCCTGAGGGGATTATTTCAGCACCCTGTGAAACCAAAGTGGCAGGATATTCCCCTTGAAATGTCACCTCCATCACTTTATGATCTGATGATTTCCCAATAACAGTCTCAGGGCCAGCACTGGGCTCATTGATAAATGATAAACCCCACTGATTCTGGAAGATATCCCCCAGGTTTTGCTGATCTGTCTGAGAGGGTAGATCCACTTGTGCTGTGCTCAACAGCACAGTTTGCATATTTGAAGGGTAGATAAAAAGGCTGGACTTAATTTGTTCAACAGCTGCTGAAGTCAGACTCATGTCTTGGAGAACTGAATCAGTCCCAGAAGAGATGGGTGTTAGAGTATTAGCAGCAGTAGTTAGCAGTGGCTGACCCCCAGGAGAATACACACTTGCATCAGTCCCTGCTAAAACTGGCCCATTAGAGAAGCTGGCCGAAGTAACAGATTTCAGCGCTGACATAGGGACCTGGGATGATCGACTTGAAGATTGGGTCTGAGTTTCCCCAGTAGATGACGAAGAGGATGAAGATGAAGATGGTGACACGGAAGAGTTCTGTACAGTTTTGTTAAGGTTTTCCTTAACTTTGCTTGCATAACTTATTTTAGGAACTATTTTAGCACTGCTATTGTCCACTGGAAAAACTGGGGGTGGTTTAAATAGGGTCCACGAGTCCTCTTTAGAGGCAACAGCAGAAGTATGCTTTCCTTTGGGCCGATCATCAAACTTTTTGCTGCTCACACCAGGCTTAATATCAGAGCTTTTCCTCAGCATATCACCCACAGCAGGTTTTCCTCGACTTGTTCCTCCAGGCCCAGTTTCATACTTCCAAATGGGCTTTGAACCATCTACTCGATTTCCCTTTTGTTCACTGTAGTCAGGCTTGAAAGTTTCAAGTCCCTGTTTTAAGGTTGGGACATTGGTCTCTTGTTGCATTATTTTGTCCTGCACTAAATTAAGGTTTTCACAACCCTTGGCACTATTGCGCCTAGCTTTCCTTTTTTTAGGAGTGGTATATCCGCTCTCAGATCCACTACCATCATTATCTGCTCCTTTGCCCAGATAACCATTAGCAATATAGCCAGAATTATTTGTTACAACACCATTTGGAATTGCTACGGTATCAGTCTTGTCTACAGATTGGTTCTCTCCAGATTTATTTTCATAAGACTTCCCATTCTTTTTGTCCATACTGTTTTTCTGAATGAAATTCCTGGTTTTAATTCCTGCTTTCCCAAAGGTGCTGGACTTTACAGTCTGCTTCAGATTAGTGTCTACAACTTGTTGGTTGCCATTGAGGACCCTGGAAATAGGGTTGGTGGCTTCATCAGAACCCAGGTTCTTTAAAGATATTTCTCTTTCTCCAGCATTACCATTTAGTTCACCATAGCCTAGGAAAAAAAAGGTTAAAAAAATTACAATATGTACATAACACTTAACAACTATTCATTTACAACGTACTAGACACTATGACTTCAGCTTTATGTTATTATTTCATAACTCTATGAGAAAACACTTGTTAGTCCCATTTCACAGATTAGGAAGTTTACTAAGCAAGAGACAGAACTGACCTGGTATCAAACCAGAGTCTAAGGTCAGAAAGAAGATGACATCTTAAGCATAGTATCTCTCACCTAACAGGATCAACCTTCCCACCATTCTCACAAGGCTGTTATAAAATTTCCTTTATAGGGACTTCCCTGGTGGTCCAGGGGTTAAGACTCCATGCTCCCAATGCAAGGGGCCCAGGTTCAATCCCTGGTGGGGGAACTAAGATCGCATACCGTAACTAAACCCTGTGCGCTGCAACGAAGGCCCAGTGCAGCCTAAATAAATAAATAAACAATTTAAATATAAACAAATAAGTAAATAAAATTTTTTTACAATTAAGAACAGAGCTACCTTCTGGGCAAAATCAAGTTATACTGATACAGTAAATCTAAGTTATTACAACAAAATTAAAGATTCCACTTCTATGAAACCATAAATGGCTGGTGGTCACCATAAGCAGTTCCTATTGCATTCTGTGAAACAAAAATCTAACACTTGTGAACTTTTTCAAAAGTGGTCTTGGGCTTCCCTGGCAGCGCAGTGGTTGAGAGTCCGCCTGCCGATGCAGGGGACACGGGTTCGTGCCCTGGTCCGGGAAGATCCCACATGCCATGGAGCGGCTAGGCCCGTGAGCCATGGCCGCTGAGCCTGCGCACCCAGAGCCTGTGCTCCTTAACAGGAGAGGCCACAACAGTGAGAGGCCCATGTACCGCAAAAAAAAAAAAAAAAAAAAAAAAGTGGTCTTAAATTCATTGACACTTCCCAGACATTAAATCATACTACTACTGTATGAAACCCAAGCACCTATGTACTAACTCTTATAAGATATATTTTCTTCATTTTATATTTGGGTAAACAGACTCTCAGAGAAATTAAGGGACTTAAGTGGAAGAACTGGAAAGCTGAACTCCAGTCTGTCTGGAACATGGTTTCCCATCACTATGTCATACTGCCTAACCAAATGATTCAGTAAGATACTAACAAAACTACAACGAAAGGTATCTAATTTGAATAAGTGTTATGGTATTCAAGTTTAATTTAAGAACTTCAGTCACCAGAATCAGCTTATTACTATAGGTGATTCAGCCGGGTCAACAACTTTTCTCACTTCCTTACTAGTAAAATAGCGTCACAACTTATGTACCTTACTGTGAAATGTTTCCTAAAGCATCTTGAGGTCAAGTCATTAGAAACAGATACATGATCCAAGAGAAGGATGGATACAGACACACACTCATTTAAGGGAGCTTTTCAGGAGGTGGGAGGGGAAATCCAATAGTATTTAGTATTCCTAGTATTTAGTATTCCAACAGGAATAAATAATAAATAATTTGTCACTTTCATTCATTCTCTTGGGCCTTTAGCCTGTCAAGGCTAAAAGGCACATGAGCTTGTATATTCTTGTTTTGAGATTTGTTTTAATTTCCAATATGGTAAATATCAATAGACATAATCCACATCAAAAGCTCTTTGTATACTTTAAGAGCATAAGGGACACTAAGATTTTTTCTAAGGCCTGAGAACCATTGTTTTAAAAGAACTTGATGTGAAACAGAACACACTGAGAAGATTCACAACACTGTTTACTATAATTTTAAGTCACTCCACATCAGAGAAATGAGTAAATTATGTAAACTTTCAGGAAATAACTTAAGAAAACATACTTAAGGCATAATCATTCTTGAGATATAGTGGCACAGAACTTGTTTCATGAGAGAATATATTTTGTAGAAGTTCTTAACTTCTGTAAAGGTACATTTTATTTTTTGGCTGGCTAAAAAAGCTATGATAGCCAATCAAATCAAACTTTTGGTGGAAAAATTCTATGAAACAGCAGAGATCACTGCTTAGGATGTTTTCTAAAAGGTTCTTATTTTTCTCCAGAAAAGCAGAAATTTCGACAGAGACTCTCAACATTTTTTAACAGATATAAGTTTACCGGTGCACAACTCTAGACCAATGAGAACTATATATACCATTTAACATTCTAACAGGCTAAAACAAAAGCTTGTACCCTTGGGCCAATTAGTCATAACTTTTCAGATCTCAAACATAAGCAGTCTTAAGCACAAAAATAAATAAATAAATAATCCAAAGTCCAAACTAGTTGGACCAAAGCCAAGACTTTAACTAAATTTTTTCCTATTTAGTGGCTCTGATATCAGAAACCACCAACTTAAAAACCACCCAGAAGCCACTATACTTCCGCCCCCCAAGTTTTAACGACAAAAAATATTTCTCATTTAACCATATAAAAATTTTCCCATGGTAACTTTGTTGATTGCAAAAAGTCTGCCGGAGAGACATTTTCTTTTAAAAATTTAGGTACTGAAAGAAAATGTAAACATTATAGAATTACTGAGAGAAATCAAAAGTCTCCAAGTGCTTTTATTATTTAGGGTTGCCATGCTAAAGCATCTAACCCTACTTCAAAAGGACTCAGCAAAACTGGAGTCCTGATAAATCTAGCTTTTGGATTAGTATCTGAAATTACCAAATGAATTTGCATTTGTCCCTCTCTTGCTCCCTCTTCTGGATAAAGAAAAAATGTTACTCTTTACAGGTTTATGGGTAATGGGTCATAAAAGCCCACCTCGACACGTTACAGACACATTTCAAAAATCCTCACAAGTTTTCTTAATAAATTAGCACTATGCATGCTGAAGCAAGAGTGGTGCGACCAGGCCACACAAGAAAAGCTGCTCACCCCAAATTGTTTACATTCTCTGAGAACTGCTAAACCCAGTTTCCCCTATTTATTCCCTTTCAGGATAAGACAAACTATTATAACTTGAAGGATGCCACCTTGAATGGTTCAGGGGCTGCCCCCATAAGTAGAGAGGAGTCCTGCAGGAGTATATTAATACCTGACAGACAAAACTGAATTTTCCAATCTGAACTGTAATACTGCCTTATAGTCCAAGTAACCATAGTAAGATTTTTTTCACCTGAAGTTGAAAAAAACCTAACGTTAAAAAGATCTAGTATTATATAGTTTCTAACAGTTTTTAAACTGTTCCAAATCCTTAGGATTAAATACTCAACAAATTTAATGTTCATTTCTACTGCACACCATCAGTCCCTACCACCCCCCCAAAATGGAAAATCAGACATTCCAATTTCAGTCTTCAAGTACTATTAAATCTGCAATAGAAAAGCAGTTTTTCTCCAGCTCTCAGTAACTGCTTATATCAAATTTGATACGCAGGATTTAACATTCATTCTCCTACCGTTTCAATTTATAAAGAACCATTATCTTTTTTAATCTGCGTGGTTATAAACTTTTAAGTTCATTTCTTTTCAAATGTTTTCTAAAATGACTTTTGCCCTCAATTTAACATTTGTTAAAAAGAAGAGTTTGGGGATCCATATCGGTTTTAAAATCGGAAAACACCTTTCCTTTCTAACATGGAAAAAGAGTCTCCTCCCAGGCAAGATGGTAGTGCACCAACCTCATGGATGAGCCACCTCGGTTCACCCTTAAAGGCAAGAAAAAGGGGTCAAAAAAACGTCGCCCTCTCTACCATTCAATCAAACATTTTTCTAATCTCTCTCCTCAAAACCTCTGCCCAAGCCCGGAAAATACATGTTGGGGTGGTTGGAGAGAGACAGAACAAGCTTTTTTTTTGTAAAAATGAACTGCTAGAAGGAAAGGGCCCAAGTGAAAGCCTGAGAGGCGGAGTCGTGAGCGAACCTGGCAGGAGACAAGGTTCCTGTGGCAGAGAAACTCGTGACCGGGGAGCCTGGTTCCCGCTGGGTACCCCACCCGGTCTTCAGGCACCGCCTCTACCCAAAATGTATCCCTCCCGCCCCCCCGCCCAAGCCCTCCTGCCCCAGGAGCGCCCGCGGTCGCCGCCCGCGGCCTCCTTCTCCCTCGGCCCCGCTTCGAGGCCGGCTCCCCGCCCC